TGTATCTAATTAAATCGTCATTTTTTTTTAAACAAAAATCAGAAATTTCTTTATAAGACTCTCAAAATAGACATGAAAAAAATGAAGATATTTTAAAATAGAGACAAATATTCAAATATATATTTTATTAACGTCTATATATATATATATATATATATATATATATATATATATATATATATATATATATATATATATATATGGATACATATGTGTATACATACATATGTATATATATATAGGGTGACCCCAAAAAACGGGAATATTTGAAGTGCGTATTGCCAGACATGAGCAAGTGGCAACACTGCGAGACAGTGACCTTGAGAAAGTAAAAATTTCGCCATTTAGAAGTCAATGAAGAATCTCAACAGCAAATTTCAAGAATGCATTCGTACAGGAGGCGCCATCTACAGGACGTAATTTTTAGAAAAATGAAAGTTCCATCATTGTTTCTTAAATGGCATATTTTAAGGTTTCAATTACTATGAATAAAATATTTTTTCTTCCATCACTCTTGGTTTTATTGGATTATTAAATAGTTCCCGTTTTTTGGTCAGCCTGTATATACAAATGTATATATATATATGCATATATATATATATATATATATATATATATATATATATATATATATATATATATATATATATATATATGCATGCATATGTATTTACATACATATGCATATAAATATAAACATATATATACTCACACATATATATATATATATACATACATATATATATATATATATATATATATATATACACACTTATATATATGTGTGTATATGTATTATATATATATGTGAATAGAAACACATATCTTTCATACTATCTCCGTCTCTTCGTTCAAAAATGTTTACGTGTGTGTGTTTGCGTTTGTGTTTGCGTGCACGTTTGTACACACGTGTACGCGTGTGCGGATAAGCTGTGTACATATTTTCTGAATTCTCCCTATAGTTTTGGACATTTGATCTGGCGGCCATACGGCCAGTGAGAATTTTGGTTTCTGCCTTCCAGGAATATCGTTTGGCATTCAAGAATTACGTCTGTTGCTATCTGCACGCTGACCAGCCATCAAGCAACAGCGATGACTCATACAATTTGAAAAAAAAAAAGCGTGGCGGCAATTTTCTAAAGTTTTCTTTCAAAGATAAAAGAATGATGAGAAGGAATATTATCCACAAAACTAGATACACACAAAAATTATCAATACCTCTCTCTCTCTCTCTCTCTCTCTCTCTCTATATATATATATATATATATATATATATATATATATATATATATATATATATATATATATATATATATATATATATATATAAGCTAAAATAAATTTCCATGTAAATATTTTCAAAATCGTATTGCCCTTTGTATTGCTAATGATACCATACATACAAAAAATATTTGGACAAAATATTTGGAATACTTATTAAATTCAAAGGAAATTTATTTAATATGAAGTTGGTCCTCCTTTAGCCTCACAGACAGCTTTAATTCGTCTAGGAATGGAATCATACAGCTTCCTGATTTCACCCAGAGGAATTTTCAGTCATTCTGCCATTAAAACTTTCTCCAGCTCTTTACGACACGACGGTGGAGGATAGCGGCTCCTAACTTGTTGCTCCAAAATGCACCACAAATGTTCAATAATACTGATATCATGAGATTCTGAGAGGCCACTCCATGTGTTCTAGCGCACTTACATACTCTTCATACCAATTTTTAACCACTTGAACAGTATGTATTGGAGCATTATCATCTTGGAAGATGCAGTCACCATCAGGGAATAAAGTCTTGATCATTGGATGAACATGATCTCCCAAAATGTTCAGGTAATCTTTGCTGTTGATTCTACCATTCAGGGCAACTATTGGACTGAGACATTTCCATGATATGGCGGCCTAAACTATCACTGATCCACCTCCATGCTTCGCTGTTGGAAGAAGGCAGTCAGGGTTGTAAGCTTCTTTGGGCTGACTCCACACATAAACTCACCCTGAAGTTAGGAAAATAGAAACACTGGGCTTGTTTGAGAATATGACTTGCTTCCATTGATCTGCAGACCAGGCATTGTGATCTCTGCACCACTTCAACCTCTTTTAAATGTTGCGAGTGGAGAGAAGAGGTTTCCTCGCAGCGGCTCTTCCATGATATACAGCCTTATGGAGCTCACGGTGAACAGTTTTAATAGAAACTGAACTATTCAGATGGTTATTCAACTCAGCAGTCACTTTGGCCGCATTTGTCCGATGATTTTTGCCACCTTGCGTTTCAAGGCACGTCAGTCCCTGTTGGTAAGGTTGCAAGTCCGGCCCGAATTGCTACGGTTGCTAGAGGTCTTGCCCTGTTTATCGAATTGCATCAGTGTTCTTGATATGGTAGCTCTTGAAAAACCAAACAGTTCAGCAATCTTAGTGATCGAGGCTCCTGTCATACGAGATCCAACAATTTGCTCTTTTTCGAACTCGGAAAGGTTACGCATTTAGCTTAAATTTTACTAAATTCTAAAACTAAATAAAACAAAGACAGTAAGTTAGATAAATAAACGTATTTAATAATTGAAACAGTTGCAAAATCCACTGCAATTACGAAGTTTTAGTTAAAGTTCTTAATATAATAGGTCTTTGAAATATAGGAGTGGATTTTGCAACTGTTTCAATTATTTAATCAACTTTATATATATATATATATATATATATATATATATATATATATATATATATATATATATATATAGAGAGAGAGAGAGATAGAACAGACAGACAGACAGACAGACAGACAAGCAAGCAGGCTCGGTGGAGTAGTTGATGCTGATTCGGATTAAAGAATCGGAAAACCGAGTTCGAATTAACGTCGATTCTTTACATTCAGTTATGTTCTAATACACTTGGGAAAGAATACACTTAGGAAAGGTATGAATCCTCTCCTCCCTCATGCTATGGCTAAAATAGCAGGACAGACTGGGTTCTATAGCCTTGGATGGCAACTGGTCTAGGAGAAGGACAACTCTGAATTCAAAACCTGCGGGGGGGTCGTTTGAGGACATTGTGACGCACGGTGCACCAGGTCTCCGTATTCGGCACTTCAAAAAACCTTATGCTTAAAAGAGAATTTCCACTATATATATATATATATATATATATATATATATATATATATGATTCGGTAATAATGGTCAACAAATATAGCCTTGCCACACACTGAAAACACCCCCAATAATGATTTAAATCACTTCACACTATTCCTACAATTGTTATTATTATTATAATCATTGTTTTTATTTTCTTCAATTTCTTTCCAGATCCCACCCAGGGACTTAAGGTTAGAAATGGGATCATGACACTTTCCACTGACAAAATAAAGAAAAAAATTACATCGATAAAGCCCTTCGTAAAGTGTGGTCTGTAATTGTCATAACAATTTTTTGTATCTCTTTGAGGCATGGACTTCCAGGAATCCCTTCAGAGAAAAACTGGACTTGTTTGAGAATATGACTTGCTTTCATTGGTCTGCAGACAAGGCATTGTGATCTCTGCACAACTCTAGTCTACTGGAATCTTTTCCAACCAATCCTAGGGCTCCAACTACAACAGGGAATGTTGATGTTCCCATGTGCCACATTTTTGAGATTTCTATTTCAAGGTCCTTGTATTTTGAGAGATTTTTGAATATCTTCAAAGATACATTGCAGTCTGCAGGGACTGCTATATCAAAAAGGAGGCACTTTTCTTGTGGTCTCAAATATTGTTATTATTATTATTTATACAGCTGTTCCTGAGGATGCAGCTAAAAGTGACTTAGTGCCGTTCAAAATTGAGTGATAAAGAGTGAGAAAATACTAAACCAACATTCGGAGGCCAGAAGACAACGCGGGAAATAGAGAGAGCAAACTCAGACCTTCCGTCCACATTCAAGCTTCGTTTGTCACACCCGCAGAAGAGATTGCCACGCATAGATCGTCCTGTTACGCCCCTCCAGGTGCTGCTCGCAAAGGAACTGTATTTTAACCGAAAAGTCTGATGCCATAATCTCGCGATGGTGGCTAGACATACTACTACTATACGTTTCTACAAAAAACTACCACCTCGTCACCGCCAATTCAAAACAGATTAACTCGGTTACAAGTGAACCCGTCTGATAGGGCGAATAGCCAGTTCCCCTGCAGACGCCTGCTGAGACACATTAACTTATTTTACCGTAAATTCGTCGGTACATAAGCACCTTTACCATAAAATTTTTAATCATTTATCCTTATCATTAACAATATACAGGTCGCCAAATATCACCCACGCCATGTAAAACAAATGTTGTTAATGAATTCTTGCATCATTTGGGAGATTATATCTCCATACAAATAATCGCAAAACAGTATTAATTTGTCACATTGGTCATACAAACACTACACTTTCACGTAGGTTAACTTGTCATTTATAAAAATTTATTGTAATTCGTTGAAAACATGCAAAATAAAGCAATTTACATCTGATAAATGTCAGTATATAATATAAATCAATATGCTGCACATACTGTCAGGAAATGCACAAAATACCCGAAACCAGGGCTATATAGGTTATTTTTATTCAGAGCTGTCTGGCTACCAACCAACGCTGAAGAGACCAGTCTGTTCTGTTATTTAACCCAGAGCTGGGGGAGTGAGAGATGGATTCATATGTTTTCTCAGGATATTTGTGCGTGTGTGAATGTTACGAACTGGACTCTGTATTTTCGTTGCGAGCCGCTATCCACTACACATCCGAAACTAAAGCATATATTCTATAGAAAAGAAACAACCTACATTAAAAACGCATATCTTTCCCAAGAGAACATATTCTGAATTATGTATAAAATATCTAGGCTGCGTATAAAATGATTAAAATGCCTATAAATTATTTATATATTTACTTGAGCTACTGTCAAACTTCATGAAAACTTTCGACGCACGACATCCCTTATACGATACAAAATAAAACAGCAAAGGATGCCCGGATGAAGCTAAGAACGTGTGGAAATAGGTAAATAGATAATGAATAGAGATAGATAGATAGATAGATAGATAGATACATAGATAGATATGAATTGGCTGAGATAGATAGATAGAAAGATAAATAGATAGATAGATATGAACAGAATAGATAGATAGATAGATAGATAGATAGATAGATAGATAGATAGATAGATAGATTTGAAGTGGTGAAAAATAGATTGATCCGTATAGATAGATAGATATAGTTGATAGATATATATAATCAGAGATAGATATAAATTATTATAGAGATAGATAGACAGACAACCAGACAGATAGATATATAGATAGATAGATAGAGAGATACATAGATTGATATAAACAGAAATAAACTGTTAGAGATAGATAGACAGACAGACAGACATATATATATATATATATATATATATATATATATATATAGATAGATAGATATGAAGTGGTGATAAATAGGTTGAACTGTAGATAGATTAGTAGATTGATATGAACAGAGTAAATGATATAAATAGCCATAGATAGATATGTAGAGAGATAGATATATCGATATGAAGTGGTGATAGATAGATAGATAGGAACATACAGACAGACAGACAGATAGATAGATATGAACAGAGATTAATCGAAATAAACAGTTATAGATAGATAGATAGATAGATAGATAGATAGATATAAACAGGGATAAATATATATAAACTGTTATAGATAGATATACAGCCAGACAGGCATATATATATATATATATATATATGGAGAGATAGATAGATAGATAGATAGATAGATATGAAGTGGTGATAAATAGGTTGACCCGTAGATAGATAGAGTAAATGAAAATAATAGCCCTATATAGTTAGATATAGAGATAGATACATAGATATGAAGTGGTGATAGATAGATAGATAGATAGATAGATAGATAGATAGATATAAATCAACTAAGAGAGTTGCTCAAAGGCAGATATGATCAAATTCAGAAAGGCAGTCTTTTCAAATACGACTGTGAATATTTATGGCACTGACGTATTTTCTCATTGATTATGCACTAAAAATATTTTGACTTTGCCAAGGGACTGAATGAGAAATGTGTAAATTGAAGAAAGACTAAAAACAACAGTGAAAGGAATAAAGCGTCATGAAATCATCTTGAATAGAAGGAAGTGAATAACGGATTTGTGGCAAAAGAACGAAGTGAGGAAAGGAAAAAAGAGAAAAGAGAAAGAGTAGGGAAAAAGTAAGAGAAAAAAAGAATGAATAGAAAAATAGCAAAGACGAAAAAACGACGGAATCTTTTATTAAGCCTTTCATAAGTCGTTTTATATCTATCTATCTATCTATCTATCTATCTATTTTCTTATTTATCTCAGACAGTTCATTATCTATCTATCTATCTATCTATCTATCTATCTATCTATCTATCTATCTATCTATCTGTCTATCTATCTCAGCCAATTCTATCTATCTATCTATCTATCTATCTCATCTATCATTATCTATCTATCTCTATCAATCATATCTATCTATCTATCTATCTATCTATCTATCTATCTAAGACAGTTCATTATCTATCTATCTATCTATCTATCTATCTATCTATCTCAGCCAATTCATATCTATCTATCTATCTATCTATCTATCTATCTCTTTTCTTATTTATCTCAGACTTTTTTATTATCTATCTATCTATATATATATATGTATACATATATATATATATGCATACATATATATATATACGTCTGTATATCTATCTATCTATCTCAGCCAATTCATATCTATCTATCTATCTATCTATCTATCTATCTATCTATCTATCTATCTATCTATCTATTTCTTTTCTTATTTATCTCAAACTTTTTTTATCTATCTATCTATCTATCTATCTATCTATCTATCTATCTATCTATCTATACATATATATATGTCTGTCTGTCTATCTATCTCTTTTCTTATTTATCTCTGACTTTTCATTATCTATCTATCTATCTATCTATCTATCTATCTATCTATCTCCACCAATTCATATCTATCTATCTATCTATCTATCTATCTATCTATCTATCTATCTATCTATCTATCTATCTATCTCTTAGTTTTTTTCATGTTATATACCATACTTATGAACACTGACAGATATATCCCACTTCTCATAAATACGTTGGACACTATTGTAAGTGGGGTCCACCCCTATCAGTGGTTTACCTACTTCACGCCGCTGGCGAGTATTGTATTTTGTTGATGTTATAAAGATTACCATTTCATTTCCAACATTTGTTTTGCTTATTTCTAATTCAGTAACCTTTTCTAGGTTACAACGCATATCTATCTACCTATCTATCTCAGAGGAGTGCTTGCAAGCTTACGTATTATTGTCTATAACTCAAATATGTTTGGCTATAGAATCAAGTGAATACCGGACCAATGTTTCCTGATCGACTCAATTGTAATCCTAACCAATGATTGTCAATAGGCTTATGTGTATACTCGACCAATGTTTGTCTATAGACTCAAGGGCATACACTCCCATTGTACACAAAAATAAAGTTTTCCTATAGGATCAAGTACTGCTTCGATTTTAAATAACACAAATCAGACTGAATAAAATCTGCCCCTTAATTGTTCATACCTATCCATTTATTTTTCTTTTTTCTTTCATTATATTTGAATATTTTAATAAGCAATATTTACCGGGCAAATTTTCTAGTATGAACTCACTGTAAATCGTCTTCAAGATCAAATAATTAATTATTTCACTAAATTTGATCAAGTTTCCTAATCAATATATAGTTAATCTTAATCTATTAGTATTATATATATATATATATATATATATATATATATATATATATATATATATATATTCAGTTCGTTCTAATTTTTACTAAATCAACTTATCAAGTATAAAATCATTAATGTAAATAAGATTATTGTCGAATTAGAGACTATCCCTAAAAAATGATTTTTTAAATCACGCCAAAGATCAATCAGTTCTTTCTGTAAACTATTAAAAAAAAAATTCAAACTCGCCTGTCAGCTTCGACTTAAAAAGTAGAAACATCAATGAGAATTTTTAGGTGTTTATTTTTTGGGTCGTTTGATTCTTTTCATTATGGAAGCACTTTTCATGCAAAAACGGATCAAATGAATATGGCTTCATTTCTTTTTTTTGTGTCTTCTTCAATGCTTCAGATGTACTGTCAGAGAGTTCAATCTCATTTTTGGCAGCACGAATTCTCTGATATGATTTGAAAAAAAAAAAAGAAAAAAGAAAAAGAAAAACGAAAAGATGCCCGAGGAGAGCAAATATATAAGGAGATTCATTTGTTTGGTTTATGATCCTGCATCAGAATCGAAACATTTCTATAACAAGGGGGCTTTGTCTTTATAATTGGATTCAATCAGTTCATTTCCAGCATTGTAAGGATTTATGAAACTTTTATAGATCTTGCAAAGATCCACACAGGCAAACGTCTGTTTTCAAAACGAAGTTTCTAACCTTCCCGCTACAGCAAGAGCATTCCTTTTTTATATTGTATGACGACATAGGAAACATGGAGAAATGTGTGCTTACACACACACACACACACACACATACACACACAGAAACATATTCCTGTCCACCTTCACAATATAGGAAAATTGTCAACACCAATACACAAAACCCTGAAAATAATGAACAAATTTATAAATTCTCGTGGCTCTCTATATCAAAAGCAACCAACTAACTGTTGTGGTAGGATCCACCTAATTTGCATAGTGGAGTACCGACCATATAAATATGGTTGGTACCGGGAAGAGAGAGAGGACCAGAGACTCTGCCCGACTGCAACTCAGTCAACCCATTCTCCAGGAACGGTCTTACCAGGAATATATAAAAGACTATATGTAAATATTGTGTACACTTTCTTGTTTCAATACATTTTGTTCTAAGTACATTTTGTGTTGCATTATTATTCCATGCATTAGTCAAGTTTCAACACTAACACTGAACAGAATTCATTACTAGTATAGCAGCAACGTTTTAAAACGCATTTGACCATCATTAAATGATGTTTTGCGTTTCTACCCTCTCTGGTTAGCTCCCTTATATTGGGACGCGTGCAAAAACACCATAGCTACAACGGATAAATTTAAAATTTTAAATAATTATAACAGTCAGTAATAATAGCGCGTTCACGTATGTTTTTTTTTAAATCTATAAAGATGATCTCGGAAGAGATCGAAAGTATTTGGGTTAGCAAAAACTACTGCGCCTTCCTTGATGAATTTCAATTCATATCAAAAAATTAATTAGAGAACTTGAAAAGGCTATTATAAAAATAGACATATGTCGACATTATTCAATGAAACATACTTAAATGAAGATATGCTGCATCTATATATATATATATATATATATATATATATATATATTATATATATATATGTGTGTGTATGTATGTATGTATAATATATATATATATATATATATATATATAAATATATAAGTGTATATATATAGAGAGAGAGAAAGAGAGAGAGAGAAGAGAGAGAGAGTGATTTGAGATGTTTCACTAAAGATAGGAATCCGACATCTATCTATCTATCTATATTATATATATATATATATATATATATATATATATATATATATATATATATATATATACAGAGAGAAAAAAGAGAGAGAGATTTGAGATGTTTCAGTATAGATAGGAATCCGACGTCTATCTATCTATCTATCTATCTATCTATCTTTGTTCATTATGTATCTATCTATCCCCGTTTATTTATTATCTATCTATCTATCTATCTTTGCATACACGTAGGGTACAGAATCCGTAGATAAGTGGAGAAATCAGACAGCGGAAAACCACTTTACTAAACGCCTACGTTAGCGACAGTCGCATAATATCGGGGTTTTCGCACTGACACATCGGGTATCGAATCGTGTCCCTGCAAGCACTTCTGGTGAGCAAGCCCGTGGCCACACTATGCAGCTGTCTGCGCCAATGCTCAGCTCGCACATTTCACCTTAGACGACCTTAGCTACATAGTATTTATGAAAATAAAGACAAGGCGCTCTCTCACCACCCGTTTCCATATATCTTCGACGACTTCAATGCCCAACATGTCAGGTGGATTAATCACTATCTCACTGACCTCGCTGGCATCCAAACCCTTAACTTCTCAATCGTCCAGTCACTGACGCAAGGGGACTGACTTCTCTAGGCGGCTCCCAAGTAAACCTGACGGACACGCTTCTTTTCTTGATCTCTTCTTTTACTTCCGTTTCACCAGGTCTACTCCTGATGTATTAACGACCATCATTGAATGTGTCTATCAACCTCTTGATAATAACAGCGAAGCTCGGGATATAGCTGTAGATATCTCAAAGGCGTTCGACAAGGTTTTGCATGATGGCCTTCTACGCAAGCCCCAAGATCACAGTGTTACAGGACGAATATTTGGTTTAATCCAATCATTCCTATCAAATCGTGAAATGAAGGTCGTTCAGAAAGAGCTCGCTTCCTGATGCTTTCATTCAAACATGGGTATCCCCAAGGGTCTATCCTGGATCTTACGCTGTTTCTGATCTTCATCAATGTTCTCCTTGATGTCATCTTTTCCTAAGTCGGTATCTATGCAGATAAAACTCATTTATTTATGTCTCAATAGCATATACGTCAGATCTGGTAAAGTAAACCTGGCGGCCGCTCTTGAAAAGGACATCCAATCAGTGGTTAACTGGGGCAGGAAATGGCTTGTAAATTTTAACCCCTCCAAAACAAAAGTGATTTCATTTAATCACCATTTTCTCTGCCATCAACATAGTTGACGCTAGACTCCAGGAGAGCAACGCACTACACATTCTTGGTTTCACGTTTTCTATTGACGTGAAGGGGAAAAATCATATTGAATCAATAGCTGCATCTATTGAAAAGAAGGTTGAGTCACTGTGACGTGCCAAAAGAACCTTTCTCGTCTGAATCCATCTTGCACACTAAGAAATCTTTTATTCGTCCGTGCATTGAATACTGTTGCCATATTTGGTT